CTGTAAGATAACTTACCTTTAGTGTGGGGTAAGTTATCTTACAGACAGCAACACAGAAAGATTTAGTGTGGTCTTTCTGTGTTGCTGTACGCTTATCATTTGATTGTGATTTTTGTATAGCAGACAACGTTAATTCGAGGGAAGAAAAATATGTTGAATATATGAGAAACCTGAAAATAGAGAAAAGATTTTCTAAAACTTGTCGACTTTTTCTGTGGTTGTATTCGATGTAGTGGTTTTGAGTTACATCAAGGTTGTAACAGCATGCATGATACAACTTGGCACAATCTGTGTAAACATATATGCCATAAATTTGTATAACAAAAACAACAGCAACAATCTTTCAAAATCTATCTGGATTTTATAAACAAAACATGCAACAATTTTCAATTACTACAATACTTTATAGTATTTTAAGTCTGCCATTAACCCTAAATCACTTTCATATTGAATATGCTTTCGTGTTCTTGAAAGTACTTGAAGCTAAAACTATACCATTTTTTATTAAAATTCTGGATAAATAGATTCTGAGTGAAACTTATGTTGGTAATGTTATGAGCGTAATTTTCTAAACTTTAAATTTCTGGTTTAATTGTATTACCATACTTCTTCACAAATAAAACCGCAGTTAACGACTTGGTTCTGCTTTGATTTGTAGATAAACATAAATAGTATGTGTTTATTCTGTCCTGTTGAAACCAACTGTTTAAAACTGTTTAAATCATTGTTTTAAATGTAAAAATAAAAATCGTATTTCTGTGTTATTAATTCTTACCCCCCCCCCAAAAAGGATTTCTAAACGATTTTCCTGCTTAATCTAGTCCACACCATAACACTTGTTGTTGTGTATTAAAATTGATTATGTATATAGCGTCCTTACCACTATTATGTATATAGCGTCCTTACCATTATTATGCATATAGCGTCATTACCATTATTATGCATATAGCGTCCTTACTATTATTATGTATATAGCGTCCTTACCATTATTATGCATATAGCGTCCTTACTATTATTATGTATATAGCGTCCTTACCATTATTATGCATATAGCGTCCTTACCATTATTACTGTCCGTTTAAATCCATTATGATAGTAGTTTGTTATGATTAAAGTGACCTACCTTTCTACCAATAAGTACTGTCCGTTTAAATCCATCATGATAGTAGTTTGTTATGATTAAAGTGACCTACCTTTCTACCAATAAGTACTGTCCGTTTAAATCCATTATGATAGTAGTTTGTTATGATTCAAGTGACCTACCTTCCTACCGATAAATACTGTCCGTTTAAATCCATTATGATAGTAGTTTGTTATGATTCAAGTGACCTATCTACCAACAAAGATACTAAAGATAGCGAAAAATTTAAAAGAGGAAGGTCTTCCTGGCCTGAAACGTTTTGAATATTAAAACATTCATATTTTGTGGCATAAGTTTGTTTGTTTTTTAACATTTTTATGTTAAAGATACTAATGATACTAGTTCACGCGACTTTTCAGGCTGGGATGTTTTCAATATCACACATGCACCGATGACGTTGGTGGACACTTTAAATGTTTTTAATGTTAAATTAAATCGGGGTCATGCAACTACAGTTTAATTGCGATGAAAGGTTTCGGTGGCGCCATTTCAGTAAGAAAGATCTTTGAGAGGAAGGGGGATCAGAGTTGAACGTTTCGAGTTTGTACATTAACTGTAATAACTACGTAACAACTAGATGGTTATGAGAAGCAGAAAAAAAAGAAATTTCGACTTTTTATACAGTTATATTAGTAATTTCTGATAAACATAACTCATTTACTAAACGTTTTACTAATTGGTGCCATTGTAAGGTGAAATGTTATGGTTTATGTTGATTTCGTGAGGTAAAACAATTATGGTTTATGTTAATTTCGTGAGGTAAAACAATTATGGTTTATGTTAATTTCGTGAGGTGAAACGTTATGGTTTATGTTAACTTCGTGAGGTAAAACGTTATGGTTTGTGTTAACTTCGTAAAGTGAAAACATTATGGTTTGTGTTAACTTCGTAAAGTGAAAACATTATGGCTTGTGTTAACTTCGTAAAGTGAAAACATTATGGCTTGTGTTAACTTCGTAAAGTGAAAACATTATGGTTTGTGTTAACTTCGTAAAGTGAAAATATTATGGTTTGTGTTAACTTCGTGAGGTAAAATCAAGTCCTCGTGGAAGGTTTTTGAATTCAGTAGTTAAAAGAGTCTTACTATATATAGTATTAGTGGTCTAGCCTTTAACTCAGTTGGAAGAGCACGCGCCTGGTATGTGACAAATCTTGGGTTCAAAACCACGGTGAGTAAATATATACTGGTAAAAAAAAAATAGAAATACCACAAGGCGAAACGTTATGTATTCTCGAAGAAAGCTAAAGTTATAGTAAAACCTTTAGTAAGCTTATTGTTGCTTTCATTCAAGCTAAAGTTATAGTAAAACCTTTAGTAAGCTTATTGTTGCTTTCATTCAAGCTAAAATTATAGTAAAACCTTTAGTAAGCTTATTGTTGCTTTCATTCAAGCTAAAATTATAGTAAAACCTTTAGTAAGCTTATTGTTGCTTTCATTCAAGCTAAAATTATAGTAAAACCTTTAGTAAGCTTATTGTTGCTTTCATTCAAGCTAAAGTTATAGTAAAACCTTTAGTAAGCTTATTGTTGCTTTCATTCAAGCTAAAGTTATAGTAAAACCTTTAGTAAGCTTATTGTTGCTTTCATTCAAGCTAAAGTTATAGTAAAACCTTTAGTAAGCTTATTGTTGCTTTCATTCATCATATTTGGTTTAAAGTTGATGATTCCTTAACGTAATTAATGATTTCAACTGTCTAGTATGTATATATATATAGTGTGAGATTATACTTGTGAAATTGAGGGATCGATCTCAGCAGCCGATACAGTTCAGATAACTGTTTGTGCAGCTTTGCTCTAAAGACATTGTGATAAAAACTACGTCTCACCTTGTTGCAGTGACGTTTATCAGAAGAAGAAAACGTTTCATGTTCATGTTTAGTCACGACTTACTAATAGATGATTTCTTTATTTTGAAACGCCGCTACTGTTTTTATAAGTTTTTTCTTTCAATTCCTTTCTCAGGAGTTGTGGACATGGTATTTCTAGCTTATAATAAGTTAGAAAACTTCTTGACAGCAGCTGATCGTGGGATATTTGGACGACCCCTTTCTGCAGGTAAACACAGCAATAACTCGCACATCATCAATTCGCGAGTCCTAGCAGCGTCAATTCGGCGCCACGGCATGGCCAGTCTTCACCAACCTGCAAAAATCGTCTTTCGACATATCCAGGTAGGAGAAGAGAGTCTGTCAAGTTTGTGGTTCAACAACTAAGTTTTATTTCTGTTTTTATTCTTACATTTCTGAAGTTAAAAATGTAGTTAATTAGTACGTAAGTTAGTAAGATAATAAGTAAAAAGATTGTGAAGCAAGACGGGTGTGCTCATTTATACCAATACATTCCATGACATATTACTCTTAAAAGAAACAGTGAACGTTAATTGCTTCATAAAACTAAACATGAGAGTCTCTTGGACTTTTCCATTTAAGCTGGATTAAGTCGGCTCGTTATCTTAATCTTAACGAACTGCTTGTTCTAGAAAGACTCATTGCTTTAGGCTACTTTGAAAAATAAAAAAAAAGATATCTAGGCGTTGGGGACGTTGAATAATTAACAAGTGTTTCAGTATATCTCATTTAAAAGTTTTGAGAACCTTAATCATACAGTAAATCTTTAATCTTCCAACTATTATTGCAAAGAGTTAGTGGTGATGCAGGAAAAGGGGGAGAGGCGTGTTATTTTGTATACTTCGAATCTGCCTCAAATTTAACGCGTCTTTATTCAATTACTTTTGGTTTTATAACCGCAGCATCATGTTGTAATTCTACTTTTATTCAACTTCATCAAAAAGATGTATAGAAATACGGGACTCGATACACATAAAAATAAAAAATCCCACTTATCACTGATGACAAAGATCAGATATATGGAATGTGAAATAACTAAAAAGGTTTGGACAAACTTAACTACTTAAATTATAATTGTAGATGTGTTGAATTACAGAAATGTTAGGGTTTTGTAGATAAACAAAAGTATCGATAAAATTAGAATTATTTTGATCAAATGAATTACAGAAATTGTTAGGATTTTGTAGATAAACAGAATTATCTGTAAGGTTAGAAGTACTTGGGTCAACTGAATAACAGAACTGTTAGGATTTTGTAGATAAACAGAATTATCTGTAAGGTTAGAAGTACTTGGGTCAACTGAATAACAGAACTGTTAGGATTTTCTAGATAAACAGAAGTATCAGCAAGGCTAAAAGTATTTATATCAACTGAATTACAGAGAAATGGATAGAATTTTGTAGATAAAAAGAAGTATCGATAAAGTTAGACGTACTTAGATCAACTGAATCACAGAAATGGTTAGGATATTGTAAGTAAACAGAAGTGTTGGTAAAGTTAGAAGTATTTCGATCAACTGAAATACACAAATGGTTATGATATTGTAGGTAAACAGAAGTGTTGGTAAAGTTAGAAGTATTTCGATCAACTGGAATACACAAATGGTTATGATATTGTAGGTAAACAGAAGTGTTGGTAAAGTTAGAAGTATTTCGATCAACTGAAATACAGAAATGGTTATGATATTGTAGGTAAACAGAAGTGTTGGTAAAGTTAGAAGTATTTCGATCAACTGAAATACACAAATTGTTAATATTTTGTTTATAAAAAGATATAGCAATGGTATTAGAAGTGTTTTGTTTAACTAAAGTAAATAGTTGGTGATGATTTTTATTTGTAAGTGTAGTTTCTTAATGTCTTTTAAGCTTTCTACTTGCTAAAATATAATTTTTTTGCTAGGATTATAAAATCGTAAAATAAAAAGGAAATTGGAAGGAACAGTGAAACGCTTCGTGAGTTAACTTAAAAACTGGTTAGAAATGTATAACGAAAATGGATTTATAAGAAGTGTCTTATGTGCCACATAAACAACGATTCTAGTATTAGAACTGATTTGATAAAAGAAGATTTAAAACCTTGCTAGAATCCAGTTAAATTTAATTACAAAATTTAAAGCATCTAAAGAAAAAACACCAAAGTCTTAACAGGATTGGAGTTAGTATTTTCAACTTGAACTCTGCTTTATACGACACAAGAGCTAGGCGGTCAGATCAGAGACCAATAAGACTCAAGGATCGCTATCTCTAACTTAGAATTTGACTAGAGGAATAGCAGTCAGTGAGTATCACCCTTCTCTTACTCTGCGGGATCGACTGCCACAGTTGTAACGCTTTCACAACTGAATGTGCAAAGCGTGAATAGCGTCATCTCGCGGCTTAAACCTGGGAACATCCAAACTTCATTCCGACAAACTAATAACTAAGCCACGTCAGGCTTAACAGTTCTAATTGTTGATCTAAAATATTGAGTGACTTGATCAGAATTCATGGATGAAAGATATGCTAACTTCTATATTTCAATTCCGTTCTTATCATATAGAAAAATAGAACAAGTTGTAATGGTGTAGTTAACCGAAGTTAAAAAAGTCACATGTATCTACGTAACTAAAGGAATATAGAAATACGACTAGGTGTTTCTGAAGGTTGTTTGTTTGCTTGTTGGTTTGAAGTTAAGCACAAGGCTACACAATGGGCCATGTGTGCTCTGCCCACCACGGGTATCGAAACCCGATTTCTAGAGTTGTAAGTCCGCAGACATGCCGCTGTGCCACTGGGGGCATTTCTAAAGAAGATGTTTTAAAATAAACATTAGGTGCGTTTCGATAATATGAACTAAATTAATGGTGAGTTTGTTTTTAAATACACTCAGTTAAAGATATGGTTGAAAATGATAACCGGCAGTCCTTGAAACGCCAGTTTGTTTTTAAATACACTCAGTTAAAGATATGGTTGAAAATGATAACCGGCAGTCCTTGAAACGCCAGTTTGTTTTTAAATATACTCAGTTAAAGATATGGTTGAAAATGATAACCGGCAGTCCTTGAAACGCCAGTTTGTTTTAAATATACTCAGTTAAAGATATGGTTGAAAATGATAACCGGCAGTCCTTGAAACGCCAGTTTGTTTTTAAATACTCTCAGTTAAAGATATGGTTGAAAATGATAACCGGCAGTCCTTGAAACGCCAGTTTGTTTTTAAATACTCTCAGTTAAAGATATGGTTGAAAATGATAACCGGCAGTCCTTGAAACGCCAGTTTGTTTTTAAATACACTCAGTTAAAGATATGGTTGAAAATGATAACCGGCAGTCCTTGAAACGCCAGTTTTTTTATTTATCTTTTTCACTGGTTGTACTTTTTTTTTTTAAGTTATCGAAATTGTTGTAGAGTTATTTGAAATTAGTTAGTTGATAAATTAATCAAATGCCTTCATTAGGGTAATGATTATTTTATAAGTACAGTGAATTGAAAAAGTTTGTTAGTAGGATTGACTCAAGTGTGTGGAAGGAACGTTTGAAATATCGGACATAAAACGTGTTAAAGTTAACTAGTGAGAATGTTTGTTTTAACAGTAATAGTTGAAACTTATTTGATATTGTAATAATACCATTTCAGGAGGAGAACGTCAGCAATCCCCGATGTGTTTTTTGGGAATTTAACAACAGGTGAGAAAGAAAAAGAAGTAATTCATTTTGCATTTTTATTATTATTTTTAAAACACTGATTTTAATGTCCACTTAGCGATTGTTATGTAACTATACGGTGTATATATATATATACTGTCTGCTATTTCTCAGTTGTACTTGCAGTCTTTACTGAGTATTTAATTCGTGTTCAAAAATAGCTGTGTTAGTTTGATTAAAGTTAATGATTGTTCTACCATATCTAGTTCTACTATATCTATACGTGATATTTTCAAAGTGTATCATAAAAATTGAATTTGTAAAACAAAGCTGTGTGAGAGACATCAATGCCAGTATCAATTGATATGTTATTCAGATCTAGTCTAAACACCTAATACCACACGTTCCTTGGATAACTGTTAGAACGTTGTTCTGTCCTGGGCTAATAAGACGAGAACCGTATCGACATCACACGATAAAGATACGAACAAATTCGTATCTTGGCTCTGCGATGACAGCCACAGCCACTAGTTAGTGTTTACAGTATGCTTAGTAACGTTTAGCTGCTATTGGCGACTGACATCAGACCACAGTTGATTTTAATCTTTGGATTAATAAGATTAACACGTATTAAGTAAGGTAGACTAGAAAAATACGTTAAAACGAAGATTAGACATAAAGGTTCAAAGTTTTACACGAACGTAAAAACACCAAGCATTTTTTGTTTGAAGTTAAGCACAAAGCTACTCAATGGGCTATCTGTGCTCTGCCCACCACGGGTATCGAAATCCGGATTTTAGCGTTGTAAGTCTGCAGACACGCCGCTGTGCCACTGGGGGCGACACGAAGCATGGTTGGATCGTGATTCCAACAAACACACCCTTTGTCGTTGACAAGGTCAGAAGTCATACTCTTAAAGGTATGGACTTAAAACAAATATTAAAGTTCACACCCTGCTAAAAAGGTGTGAATTTATAAAGAAAATGGAATGCCGTGTAAATGTTGTGTCAAGTTTGAAAACGAAACAACTGTTAACAAAATCACATTAAGATAATTTTGAGTAGCATAATGTTTTATGATTAGTAGCATAATGTTTTATGAGCGGATCTTTTGAAAAAAACAGCAACACTTGAAAAATGTGTACATTTGCAATTAGGCTTACTTGTATGAAGTAAGGCTTACTAAACATCTTATTGTTTAAAATTTCATAATTCTATTGTGTGAATCACTTTTTGGCGTAGATCTCTGTCTCGGCGTTCCTCGACCTAAATACCCAATAAGATGACGATGATAAATCATGGGCGGGATTTGGGATTAAAATATGGGGAAGGCAAAAGAAAGTGTAACTTAATTATTGTGAATGTCGTGTATATACTATATACCACACAAAAAAGTGGGTGCAACTGCCCCGTGCCCCCCCCCCCTCTCATAATACTGACTAATTTGTGTATATTTCTTTTGCTGGTCTTTAATTGATTTTTTGTGCATTTCTTTATGTGAGACTTGAGAACGGAGGTTAAGACTGACAGAAGGTGTATCCCCACCGTAATGTGGGTTCTACTTCTGCAGTCTCCTCCAAAACCCAGGGCACATTTTATATCCCACATTATAGTCTGTACCCTTTTAATTTATGTATCGTCTTGAATTTAAGTTTGTTTCTTGTTTGGGCTTGTCTTATATTTGTTCATTTAAATGTCATTTATCATAGCTGTGGATTTGATGTTTTTAACGCGGTTGTTCCTTTTTCATTTTATTTTGCTTGGCTGTTTAAGTATTAATTTTCTAAACACACACAGCTTAAATTTATTCTAAGAAGGTAATAATAATAATGATGGTTTGCATCGATTTTAACTTTTTTATTATTCTATATAAGTAAACCGTCTTAGTTTTTCGTATTCTTGATGTTAATCTCTCCAGGCTGAAGAACCTACGAAACCAGTTCTCTAAAGACTAAATAATATGTAATTGAAATGGTTTTACAACTTGAAAGAGAGGTTAAAATTATTTGTTGCATGGAAAACTCAGGAAGTTACTCGAACACCTGTAAGTTTTTTTCATAAAATCTAAACATTCTGAAACCTATTTTAAAACAATTTCTAAAAAAACGTTTGTTTCTTTAAGACCAAAGCCACATTGGGCTGTCTCCTGTGTACACCGCGGAGAACCAAACTCTTGATTTTAGCGTTGTAAAGTCTGTAAATTTATTGCTGTCCCAACAGGGGACATTAAGAAAAGACAACAGTTTGTTTTTTGTATCGCTCTATCTTATTGATGCCTACATTGTTGTGTATGTGTTTCATCTCGTATCTGCAGACTTTGGTCAGGGGAAGGATGCTGGGTGAGCTCAACCAACAAAACCCACACAGTTTGTTCTTGTAACCACCTCACTAACTTTGCCTTGTTGATGGAAGTATCCGCTACCAAGGTAAGCCAGCCATGTGGATGATATCACGATTAAATCTAACCATTGTAAATGTCCTAAGTTCAAAAACTCGGTAACCTAAGCGACTTCGTTAAGTAGCCTTTCTTTTATTAAAAGGCGAACAGAAAATTGCTAAATTTTGAAAGAAAAAAAAATGTTGATAATGTCCTTAGCTACGTTTGGGTTGTAGAGGGAAAAGTTTCGAGGGGTTCAAACTTTTACAAATCGAGCTTTATACCATGATTGCTTATACCTTGTCATTTTTTCTTGAAATAATACCACTGACTATTCGCTTTAGAAACCTTGTCCATATTTATGTTTATAAAATAATATATATTATTGTTATGCTCATAAAACTATGACATATTGCTTTAAAGCGCTCTCTATCGACGCTTCGGCAGAATTAAAAGTATTTGATGAGTAAAAGGATTTAATTGGTAATAAGTAATTGTTGTTTTCACATACTTTATATATGACATTATAGTGGTTTATACTTTTACAGCTGGTAAACTAAATATTGCTTATCAAAATACGTTTTACGTATGACTTATGTTTTATAAATGCATATCTGGCGCATTCATTGAAATGCAACCAAAACACACGCATATATGCATTTATAATATATTTGCTAATTCATTCGCAATCATTAGTATTTTCGTACTCTCAATTCAGAAAATTATTTTCTAAACTAGATTTACGAGTTATTTTATAAATATAATAGTTTTTAATCAATTATGTTTTATACTTACCTTTCATTTAAAGTTAGCTCCCATTTTCCAGTGAAATTGAAAAATTATAACACATACAAATCCGTGCTTTTGTAGTGTTAATTTATCTATTTTAGATAACGTTATTGGTTCAGATAAAATTGGGAAGGCATAGTTTATAAGTGTTATTGTCTGTAATAAATGTTCCATTTTAAAGGCATCGCTCTGAATTTAAAAAAAAACACAAGCTCTAATTTCAGTTTGAAATAATTCATTAAGAAAGAAACCTAAGGTGACTTTGGATAACTAGTATATATTTACGTGTTTTTTCTTTGTGAAAAACTGAAAAATCCAATTTCGTGTAATAAATAAACCTGGTTTTGTGCAATAAGTATTTGGAAGATTGAACGAAAATTTGTATTATGTTATTAACACTTAATTATAAAGGGATTATATCTGGTAATTTTAGCGTTTCTTTCTTAATTCTATCGAGTTCGATAAACGTAATTCTATAGAAAATTCTATATTTGCAGCAAAACAAAATGACACAAGAAGTTTCTAAATTGGCTGTTTGGATTGGTTGTGGTGTAGCTATGACGCTTCTTTTGATGACGTTTCTATTGCTTATGCTATTAAGGTATGTATTGAAGACTTAACTTCATGAATTATAGCAACCCGTAAACTTGTATATCATTTATAGAGCTCCTACCAGTTTCAAAATCTACATTTCTTACATAGGTTAAAATATAGTTTTGAGATTAATAAACCTGCCCTTTAAGATCTTGAAGAAGTTAGTATTGGAAACCAAAAATCGTCATTTTTTGTCCATTCATATATATTATATTTACACGAAAGTGATTTATCATAAAAGTACAAATTCGTATACAATATTTCGTTTTCATTCTAGGAATCTAAAAGGAGATATCTTCACGATACGGAAGAATTTATTATTTTGCCTATTTGTGGCCGAAACTATTATTCTTATCGGCATAGCACAGACAGCAAATAGAATTATCTGCGGTGTCGTAGCCGGATTTCTTCACTACGCTCTTCTTGAAGTTTTTACTTGGTCTCTGCTCGGAATTTTTCACTTGTTTATGGTGGTGCTGGGTGTATTTGATGTGTCTACCTACCGAGGAAATTGGTATTGTGGCTTTGGTTACAGTATCCCAGCTGCGATTGTTGGCATCAGTGCTGCTATAGACCCAGAAAGTTTCGGCCAGGGTGTTAGCTTTTGTTGGCTGAAATACAGAAATTTCTATGTAATGAGTTTCGCAGGACCAGCGGGAATTAGTGTACTGGTAAGCCCGATGTAATCGGACGTTATATCAAATAATAATTATGAATCATTCACATAATTGTTATTGTTTCGTGTCTCTAAAAATACAGGAGGCTCTAAAAAAATTAACCTACAAGCCAGCAAAACATCTTTATCAAATTAACTGTACATACATTGCTGCATTATTTGAAATGCTCAAACCGGGCTCCACCAGCATTCAAACAATCATGACACCTGCAATGGAGAACCTGACATGCTGTTACATAATTTCTCATTCTGATCCGATTGAAAGCATTTGTGATCTGTTGCTTTAATAAGTCAGAGGTTTGGGATTTATTTTTAAACATCCTCCAATATTATCTGAAATAACAATAAAGCTTTCAGAATCGATATATAGAGAAGTTGGATAACTTAAGAGGCGGGTATTATTTTTGGGTCTCCCTGTATTTCAAAGTCGGGCCACACTTACTTATGACATTCTGAAAATATGCTTTTTTTTTTTTTCTTCTCTGTTTGGAAAATAAACTAAAAATTCTTTTTGGTAATTTTGTCGTGAATAAAAGTACAGTGTAGTTTCTTTAATTAGGGTCTAGGTCAGGCGTTGTATGGCAATTTGCATGTTGCGAGTTCGAATCCAGTCGTCGAACCTGTTCGTCCTTTCAGCCATGAGGGCGTTATAATGTAACGGTTGATCCAACTTTTCGTTGGTGATGGGTGGTGTTGACTAGCTGACTTCCCTCTAATCTATCACTGCTAAATTAGGGACGGCTAGTGCAGATAGCCCTCGAGTATTATTGCGCGAATTTCAAATAAACAAATAAGGTCTAGCTCAAGGTCGAGGACCCAAACTTTAAATCCGAAGATTCGTCGTAGTTCCCGGCCTGGTGGCATTATCACATTGATAGTCAATTCCGCCAGCTCCCCCCCTCCCAATGGCAAGAATAGCCGCATAGGCGGCTGGTACTGCTGACTTGTGCCCTTTCCCACCTCTGCTCAGTAGTTGTAAATTTGGGGTGGCTATGCTTGACCTGTGTGTCGCATAATGTGCCTTTCACGTTGAAAAAGCAGTACCAATACTACAAAACACGATTCTCTCCCCTGCGGTAAGTCTGAGAACTAAAAATCGGGAATGTGTTAGATGATAAACTTTTCAGTGAATAGCAGCTCCTAAAACGTATTTATTTTATGTCAGAATTATTTCTAAAACTCTGATTCCATGCGTAGGAAGTTTAGACAAACAAACACAAAAAAACAAAACAAAAAACATTTCAATGTGCGTGAGATAATGAAATTAATAAGTAAACTACAACTTACAGAAATAATGTTTTTGTTAATTATTACAGCTTCTTAATGGGTGATACAAGAGGTAAAGCTCTTACCCTTGAATTATCCATTTTGTTTTAACCTCGCGAATACCCCAAAGAAAATGTAAGGGAAAAAAACGCAGAATTATAGAAATAAATGGCCTTTGAAGTTGTAAAATCGTTCTTATTTTTTGTCATTAATGTCTTCTAAAGTCCAATCCGCACTGCATCAATTAAAAGCTGAATAATTAATATTTCATAAGCGTAATTCTAACATGTATTTGGGCCGGGCGTGGCTTAGTGGTTACTGAGCAAATCGGAAGGAACACGGTTCGCGTTCCATTTCCACAAAATCTCTTCAACTTGTACTATTCGACTATAGAGTAGCCCAAGAATTTGTGGTGATTGTTGTTGACTAGGTGTCTTCCCTTTAGTCTATCAATTTAAAATTGCGAAAGACTAGCTAAGGTAGTCCTTGTGTAGCTGTGCAAGAACGTCCGAAAAAAAAGACTAATTAATTATATATATATATGTAAATTTTGTAACTCCTCTTACTACCTGACATCAATGGACCCTGTATAATAAAATACAGCAGTGAAAAGGAAAAATAAAAGGAGACAAGCATATTTATAAATAAATTCATTAATATTTGTATTTATTTCACCATTTCATCTACTTGCCTGTTGACCTCAGATCATAGATCCAGGGTTAAAGACTTGAGAAAAGAAATCACTCGGAAGTATTTAACAGCGGAATTTTTCGGAATGACCATAGTCCAACTCAAGTATATGGCAACTATGAAAAAAGTGCCATCTATGTCCGGAATGAGTGAGAAAAGGCTGTCATTTTTCTATATATATGTATATACTTTTTTTTCATATATAAAATTCTTAAATGCATTGACTTGTTTGAAACCTAATTGATACACAAAACCGGTCACGCCACTCTTGTGGAAATTCAATTTATTTGAAAAGGAATGCACGTTGCTATCTATTAGCTGAATCTCTTTTTTTTATCACTATATCTAGTTCGTAAAAATTCATTCTCCCATTTAAGCATTTCTTTATGAACCACCGCCAGATATTTATCAGATAAATTATTTCAAAGCAAATTCTGTCTTCTTAGAGAAGCTATAATTTATTAAATGTTTTTACGACATTTGAAAATGGTTTATCTTTGAACATTTAGAAATTAGCTTCTGTTCATTTAGATGTTGTTTTTGTATATGCTGTAGCTTTCTTAAATGAAAACTGTTTTTTAGAATTATCGTCTAAGATACACAAAGAGCTATTGCGTATGGCTGCCCTTAGGAAAGGTAGCTTGTCAACAGCACCCACCTCCAACGTTTGGGCTACTCTTGTCTAATCGAATATGAAATTTGACCCAAAGTGTAGAGCACGTTTTTGCAGTAACGTGTTGCAAACCGCCATGAATTCTCACTAACCACTACGATACGCTGGGGCTCATCAAGTAGATGAAAAACCTCGAATTTTACCTAAGCCTTAACTATTGAAATTACACTCTACTTTTATGTCACTGAAAAACATATTTTATAATATTTTTCCCATATATCTTTCAAGACAAATAAACACTTGGTTTATGCTTAAGAAAGATATGAAGTAAACGTAAAGATATGAAGTAAATGTAAAGATATGAAGTAAACGTAAAGATATGAAGTAAACGTAAAGATATGAAGTGAATGTAAAGATATGAAGTAAACGTAAAGATATGAAATAAACGTAAAGATATGAAATAAACGTAAAGATATGAAGTAAACGTAAAGATATGAAATAAACGTAAAGATATGAAGTAAACGTAGCTCGAAATCAAAATGTTTAAAGACATGAAACAACTAAAATTATGGTGAGATTCATAGTCTGGACACGCTAACCACCAAGTTTAATTAACCACCAAGTTTAATTAACCACCAAATTTAATTACCCACCAAGTTTAATGCATTCATAGTAAATATCTTAATCATATAAATTACTTCAGCATTTTCAGGAAATCTGAGAAAATGTTAGTATTAGGTCTGCTCAATTTAATCCGCTTTTTTATAAGTGAATAATTATTAGCATAAACTAGTGTTGAAGTCCTACTTAATATATTTTTTTTTACTTTCTTTTATTTTTTTATAATAAAGACTTTGTATAATAAAGAAAAATTAACACAACAAAATTCTGGAATTCTTAACTCATAACTGTCCTTTTCTATCAGGCCTCGACTATTCTTTTGATTTTTATTTATCACCGCATCTCCAGACGGTCGGATACATCAGTGGATGCTAAAAATAAAGAGGGCGTTAAAAGCAGTTTGCTCAGGTTGGTTTTGAGTTTTCAATTAACCAAAATCATCTCATTTTAGTGTAATTACGTCAGGTTATTATTAATTTTAATTATTATTATTCAATTTATTATTATTATTAATCTCATGCATAGTTTAAAAATATTTAAAAATACTTTTTTTTTAACTAAATTGTTTCCCTCAGATTTTATTTGTGTTTATTTGAGATTTTGTAATAAAAATTGTTATATTTTCTTAGGATATTTCAAAATCCTGTCTGTTCATTAAGTTTGTGATAGACTGACACATTCTTATATTTATATTTTAGGTCTTGGAGTGACAGCTCTATGTGCGTTTTGATTATGCTAAGCCTAACGTGGGCCTCGTGTCTCTGGTACCTATATGATGCTTCGACAATCACAATGTATATATTTACTGTCAGCAACAGTTTGCAAGGAGTTTTACTGTTCGTTTTTTATTGCATTAGGGAGACGCAGGTTAGCAATAAATTGTATTATTGAAGCAGAGAGATTTTGATATAGTTATAGAACTTAAAATTATAAATGATGCCCTAATATAGCGCTCTCTACAGAGTGACGTTTAGATATAAGCCTCTTTTATTTATTGATTGATATGGATTTGAAATAATCTTTAAATGAATTAACTAATTATTTCACGATAATCACTTCAAAAGCCAAACCCTGATGTTGTTGTTTTTATCAATTTAGTACTTATATATTAAAATACAAATAATATGTATTGCTTATTGATCATTTGACTAGTCATAAAATTGAAACTTTTTCAGTTAAGTACGGATAGTTGTTGATATGGAAACTTGACGATACTGCTAGTTGCAGTTTAATCTCGAAATGCTTCATTTCTCCCTGGCAGGTCCGGAAAACCCTGTGTGAAACACTCCGCTCTATCCCCTGGCTACAGTCCTGTTTTCCTAGCCTCAAGCCTGCTGCCAGCCCACCGAGTCAGTACGTGTATACCAACGGCATGATGAACTCGTCCCTGCCGTCCGTCTCCGGCCATGAAAGTGTGGGTAACCTCGTCCTTCCAACTCCCGTTTCTTCTCTTTCCGCAGGTACATGAACCGATGGATAAGCCCCTGTTTTGTTGTACAGATCTGTCTCCACACCCTCATTCACACCAAGTTTTTGAAGCATGGCATCGCTTCTCTCCTGCTTGACTATTCTGTCAACAACTCATTTTCTATACTCTATACAGCTTTCTATTCACAAACATGAGACTAACCTACATAACCTTCGAAATGCCCAATAATACAGATAATACTGTGCAGCAACTTTGTCTTGTTTCAACGGCTGTACTATTTTAGGCTGTAGTCTCGCAAAACGTCACATATCTGTCGAGGTATTTGCGATGACTGATTTAATGAATACAAGAAACTTTTTTAATTACTGGAGAAATGCGTACCTTTAAAAGAAAATCGAACCCTTGGGTAATATGTCTTTCAACTTTCTCTGCCAGTCTTTTATAACATGATTCCAGCATGAAGCAGTGTGGTTGTTATTTGTATATGCCAGACTGTGATATTTCACCTGGTTGACAAACAATTAATTGTTTAAAGTGCACAATGGCTTATCTGAGCTGTGCCAGTCCGTTAAATCGACCCCCAAGCTCGTGGCCGAGCCACTGAAGACATAGATAAGCTGTAATGTATATGCAGCTAGAAACTTAGATTGTTTTAATAATTTTAAGTCCCAATCTGCGTGTGTAAACACTGATTCAAAACATTTCATAAACTCTTCAAATATACTTCAAATTTTATGTCTTATCTTTCTTGTCAAGTAAGCCTATTTGCAAGCTAAATGTGTCTGTAAAGCATGGTTACAAAATACTGTGGGTGAACAGTTTTAGTGCCTTTTCATTTTCTCTAATTTTTTTATGAAAATTCCATCACTTTTTTGTAATTCACGTTTCAAACTGTTTCTTTTTTTTCTGTTTTTACTAAGATTTTTAAATATTTTCGCTCTATAAATATTATTAGAGGGACAAGGGTTCTCAATTTTAGTGGGAAAAAATGCTCTTTTAATGTCCTTAGAAAATAGTTCACAGTATTAAAACTTACATTACTATACTTTCCAAAATAGTTAGGTTACTATAATAGGATTGTGCACAATTGTAAGCCTACTTAGGCTTAAGTAATTATAAACTACGTAATCATGAAGTGACTTAAGTTTAGATTTTTTTTTATTTTCTGTATTAACGACAAAACGTTTTGGTAGTTCAACTTTAATAACTGTTAGGTAATGGGTACAAAATTTACAGGCATTGAATTTTACAAATATTTTTTCTTTACGTATTGTGACTGTTTAGTAACTCTTTTACGATAGAGTTGTCAAGAAATAGGAACCCGTGTGATCTGTACGAGGCAAATCCTCCTGTCTCCCGATGGGCCAGTGGTTAGCTGCAAACTGAAGTTCCTATATCGATAGAATTCAGGGATCGATCCCAAAGGCGGACAAAGCTTAAAGAGTCCATTGTGCAGCTTTGCGCTAAAGTAACAACACAAAAGTAGTAACTATTAGTTTCAAACGTACACGTCTTTATGTATTCCACATAGCAATGATCGTGGAATAGACTTTTAACTATGAATATATTAACTTGTAGCGTTGTAATATTTGCAATAGGTGTGTGGAGTACGTATGCAATGAAATGAACATTTTTTTCCTTTTTTTTTCGTTCGTGTAGTCAGCCCTACCGTCATGGAGATTTCGGAGTTGCCCATCAACTACAGAAACCAGGAGTTTCATCAGACTAGGTGATTTCTGCTATAACGTACAATCAATAATTCTCGTGTTGGACAGGAGAACATTTAATTTATATATATAAATATTCTGGTGTATCGGTCTTGTTGAAATTTCTATTAACTTTATAATACGTGAATAGCTTCTTATGTATAAAAAGATAACATTTAAAGTAAACACATGTTTGAAATACTACTTTACTAATACAAAGTTTACATTGTTTTCAAGATCACCAATTTACGCCCAGCGAGGATGTCCCAGTTGATGACGACAGTGGTGTTAAAGACATCGAAGAAGCTAACAACGTCCCAACCAGTGAATCGGACAATGTATCCGAATCTACAGATCAAGTTGTTTGTCCAGCTTTGCTTTTGACTGCTACACAATCTCTGGCGATAAAAACACCCTCAGATGGAATGAGAGATTGGTTACCAGTTTCTTCTTCTCGTTGTTGTGGGGTATGTGGTTCGTGTATAAAAAGCCAGTCTTTGCTGTTTTCACCAGATTTCAAAAGGTGCTTAGGGAACTATCGCGTAAATTATAGTGTGGAACATATTTATGAAACGATTGACAGTGATTCTCTTGTTAGTCGCTGTAGTTCGCAGTCGTGTACATCGGAAGAAAACGACTCGAACCCGTTTCAGTCTCAAATTTGTGTTAAGGAGAGTTTTTCGTCCAACGACGAATCTTGCGCCGTTAGTAGCCGAGGAAACGGGGGAAGCGTTCTCGATCTTGCCGTACAGCATCTATCTCAGTTGACAGTTGATTCTACAGCGAACTTTAGCCAGTGTAAAACGATCGCTCTAGACAGAAGTAACGTTTTTGGTGTTTTTGCACACACTAGAACTTCACTGAGAACAAAGAACCTTCCTTCTCAACAGCAATTTGTAGACCTTGGATGTGTTAGAGAACAGGATTTTCGAAAGGAAGATTATATTAGTGACTCTGTTGTACCGAGAAGTGATAATATTTGTTGCAATAATGCATCGTCATATCCTCTTTTAACTGAAGATGCAGTAAGAAGGCAGAACCTGGAAACCTCGCCTCAAACTATTTGTGAACCAATCCCGAATGAAAGCAGCTATTCGTTTCGAATTTGATCACGTTCTTTTATAATTCTATCAAGAGCTAGTCAAATGTTTACTTGGCGACTTGGGTTCCGTGGGAGTGGCATAGTTGTTGTAAATAAATTATTAACCTATCTATTATCTTAATGTTAGTCAGCTTTATGATGGAATATTAAGTAATAATATGAACGTTTACGTATTTTGGGACAGCATATACAAGAACTCACTCAATATCCTTCCTTGCCTTGTGATATGGTGGAAATAGATAGCAAACAAGTAAATTCAAGTTGTTGTTTTTTATCATCGTAATTTAGATTCAATATTTCTTTAAAAATCTGAATTTGATTATTCAAGACATTGGATTATTCTGAAAGAACTAAGAATTAGTGATTGATTATATAAAAAAAAAATGTGGAGTATTAATACTTTGGGCCCTCAGTGCCTTTCCTTGATAAGCAAGTTGTGGAATATTAATACTTTGGGCCATCAGGGCCTTTCCTTGATAAACAAGTTGTGTGGTATTAATACTTTAGGTCCTCAGGGCCTTTCCTTGATAAGCAAGTTATGGAGTATTAATATTTTGGGCCCTTGGAACCTATACCTGATAAGCAAGTTATATAGTATTAATACTTCTTGATAAGCAAGTTGTGAAGTATTAATATTTTAGGCCCCCAGGGCCTTTTCTTGATAAGCAAATATGCTAAGTATGTAAAGTGCCATAAGAGCATTCTGAATGAAATGCCATTTATGAAATATTTGCAGTTTTTCACTGAACTACCAGAAAACGTTCTTAATTAAACTCTGACCACCGTGTTATCCACCAGGCACGTTCCAAACCATGTTAATCAGTAAATCAACATCAATAAAATGTTATTCTTTAATTCTGATCGATATAAATACCTCGTTGGTAAAAACATTAAAAACACGTTGGCCTTTTATCAAATCTCAATGTGACATAAAAAACAAACAAACAGTAAAGACAAATTTGGTGATTCAAATCAATCTGTTACAGATTATTATTTAAATTAAAGCTAATTTTCAGCTCACATCAGAATAATTTTATGACATTTTATTTAACATTTGTGAAGTGAATTGTTTGTCACAAAATATTTTGTTCAACTACAAGCAGTGACACATTTCAATCTGATTTTTAACTCGCACAGTTTGCTACTTACCATAAGTGTGGTTGATGTACATTGTGTATAAGGAAATAAATAATTTACAAGTATCGTCATGTTTAGATTTCTGATGTTCGTGAGAATAAATCTTTCTATATCATATAAAAACAGCACATAAATATTTAAACGTTACGTGATGTTTCATCCTAAACGGTAGCACAACCTGTGTAATTAATAAATCATTATTATTATTTTCAAATTATCATTCTGAGTCTTAGTGTAAGCAACTTGAATTCAGACGAGCTGTTACATAATAGCTTCAAAATGAAATTTCTGATCAATGGTAACTGAAATTTTCCAGAACTGTGGCATTGTTTTCTAAGATAATCTATACAATTGTGATATTGTAAATTTAAATAAACATTTTAACATTATTAATCAATCCATAAGGACTTCGTGTATACTGAGAAATCCGGTTAATATTCTACAGTTAATATTATCACATATTTTCCCATAATAAATTAATTTTACATGATGGACCGTTTCCTGTTATCAGTAACTGGTATACATTTTGAAAGTTTTGAAAGTGGTGTAACGCCCTCTAGAAAGTAGATAGCCACAAAAATAAGTATCCGCTGAAAGTGTTCCATATTAAATATTTTTCTGTAATATATGAACTGTATATGATGGGTCTTGATGGTGGTTGGTTTACATAGCGTCCTCTATAAAGAAAATAGCCGAAGAAATATAACCCAAAAGTGTGCCATATTTAATATTTTCCTGTGATATATGAATTGTACATGATGGGTCTTGATGGTGGTTGGTTTACATAGCGCCCTCTATAAAGAAGCTAGCCGAAGAAATATAAGCCAAAAGTGTTCAAATAAGATAACATGCAATCACTGTAGTTGTCATAATTTATGTTCTGTTGATACACTGTACAAAGCAGTTTTGTTTGTTTAGTGAAACAATTCTTAATGTACAATACATTTTATAAGGCCTCATTCAACTTCAACGTACTCTTCATCTAATTGAGTCTTGTTTGGCACAGTTTTTATTTTACTTTTTTTTGTATACGATCTACACAACCAACAGTTTGTATTTGTTTGTTCACAGAAGCACACACACACACAGGGAATTTCTCAAAAAATTTCAGATCTATCTCTGGAAAGATAGCATATTAAATGATGAAGTCTGAAAAAAACTTCTGTACTATTTTTATTGTAACAAAAGGCTATCTGTGCCAGTATAAACTTATCTTTTATTATTCTAGTTTTTGTTTCTATACTCTAGTTTTGTCAGAAATTTTAAGAGGTGTGTGTAATTTCTTTTTGGGAAATTCGAGACCTGACAGAAGCTAAAAGTTGTTCCTAGATTATAGTGTTAGTGTTTTAGACGTTGCTCTCCAAGTACACACATTGTAGAAACATATAAGATAAAAAATAACTACAATCTGAATATCAGAGGATATGTACTGACAGAATTAAGCTATTCTTCAGTCACCTACTTGCTGTTATTGTTTTAATTTTTAAAATACGAAAACTCAATGGGTTGAAAGTCACCATCATAATCTGGCGAGTAGTACTAGAAGGCAATGGATCCATTTCAAATCTGTTCCCAAAACATTATCTTTTACATTTTAAAGTTTGCTATAAACGCTGAACATTGTTTGTTTTGATTTTTTTTTCTTGTCATTATTCAAAACCACGATATTCATTACAAATCGATTCACAGAATTCTTCCACATTTATAAATATCAGCAAAGTCTTGGAAACTTTTTTTTTATTATCTTCCTCGTTCTCCCATTCTTTCAGATTTTACATCCAATCCAGCTCTTCAATCTCAGATACTTTATAACTTTCTCTTTTTTGAATTTAAAGTTGGCGTTCTCAACAATTGATTGGACGCTCAAGTATATAAAAAAAAGAAACATCTTGGGAAGAAATTATTTGATTAGTTTCAGTTCTTATAAGCTATATAAATCATTTCTAAATTTCGCAAACCTTTGTAAGTTAAGTTAATGCCATAAGGATACTCATGATCAGACTGATAATATATCTGTCAATAAATTAAATCTGTGCGATAAGGAGAATAATTGTTTGTTTGATTTGAATTTCGCGCAAAGCTACACGAGGGCTATCTACGCTAGCCGTCCCTAACTTAGCAGTGAAAGACTAGAGGGAAGGCAGCTAGTCATCACCACCCACCGCCAACTCTTGGGCTACTCTTTTACCAACGAATAGTGGAATTTACCGTCACATTATAACGCCACCACGGCTGAAAGGGTGAGCATGTTTGGTGTGACGGGGATTCGAATCCGCAGATTGCGAGTCGAGCGCCCTAACCACCTGGTCATGCCGGGCCTAAGAAGAATAATGATAACACTGTTGACGTATCTCTCAATTAAATTTATGCTATAAGGAGAATAATTATCTCACTGTTGATATCTCTGTCAATTAACTAAATTTATGTTATATAAAGAACCATGATGAGACTGATGATATATTTGTTAATTTACCACTCAGCCATTCATAGCAAAAAAAAAAACAACAACAACAGTGAACACAACATACTCAATAGTTTATCCAGCGTTGACAACAAGGAAAAACCCATATTATGATATTCGGTAAATTATTTATGATACAATATTCGTTTAATTTGGAAAATTACGAGTTTTCCGATGATAAATACACAGAAAAAAAATAGCCTAATGTTCAACAGTTAAATTTATTATGACCGAGATTTAGAATGTATATACTAGGGTTTCCCAGACTGGGAGCAACATGGAAATGTCAGGGCGCCACAGTAAGTACACAATATTATTAAGGTACTCAATATCCATATATTCACCAGGGGAGCCTTATTCATGATGTTCTGGGAGTTGGGTCTTGTCCTGAGAAAGTTTGTGAACCCCTGTTTTATACATCATAGACTACATATTCCCTATTATACAAAGAATTAGGGTTCTTGTTAAATGAAACATTGGAATGATGAAAAGAGTCATTAACTACAAAAATAACTTTTACATTCAAAACTCCGTTACCATTTTCATGATTTTCCACTATCGAATTGGAATAAGCCTTTAGAACGAATGGAAGAAAACTGCTCTTAGACCTTACCCTTGCCACCACGAGGCTTACCAGAAAAAGTCTGAATGTTTTATGCACTCTTCAAACACGTGTGTTTTTAACATTAAGTTTCCTTAGCCTTTTGCTTGTTTGGACTACGAATCAAAACGTAAACAAATATATTTATTCAATACCCTCCCCCGCCCCCCTCAGAAAAAAATCAGGAAGCTATAGAGAAACATACTTCTCAGCTCATTTTAAATTTTCTAGCCTTAGAAAACGTAAGCTATATTTGAAAACAGTGCCTTGTTCAGTGGCTATAACTAGAAACTATCTAATAACAAATTCTTACTTCGACAGAGTCTTGTTTTGATGAATATCAGACACGTAATGTATATATATATATATATATATATACATGTGTGTATTATTAAGTAATTTTTTTCTGATAACACAAGCTTTATGGTTATTTCAACAGATTACATTACTAGGATTAGGATTAAGTAAATTTAATAATTTTAGCATTTGAACACCAGCGCCTACAATATTCATTATTATTGTTATATTTTGCGTAGTTTTCATAGACATTTCAATATACAAACATAAGTTATTTATTTGAGTAATACACTGTTATTATAAGAGATAATACGAAACAGGAGTTTTAATAACATTAACATTGAACTGAAAATTAAAATTATGGAGCGTGCTTTATAAAACTTACTTGGAAGTAGAAGAAAAGCGCCTGAGACTTACTTGTTTAGC